ACAGGAAGTCTTAGTCATTTCTGATGAGGTTGCAAAATGGTACAGCCACTTTGAAGGACAGTTTGACAGCTTTTTATAAAAATAAACATACTTTTACCAAACGAGCCAGCAATCATGCTCCTTGGCGTTTATGCAAATGAACTGAAAACCTACTTCCTTGCAAAGTCTGCACACAAATGTTTATAGAAGCTTTATTCACAATTGTCAATAGTTGGAAGCAACCAAGATGTCCTTCAGTTGGTGAATGAATAAACTGGTATATCCAGACAATGGAAAAGTATTCAGTATGGAAAAAGAAATGAGCTATCGAACCACGGGAAGACGTAGAAGAAACTTGAATGCATATTGCTAAGTACATAAAAGGAGCCAATCCAAAAGGTCTAAATAGTGTAGTATTCCAACTATATGACATTCTGAAAAAGACAAAACTATAGAGAGTTTAGTAAAAAGATCAGTGGTTTGGGGTTAGGAGGGAGGAAGGGATGAGTGGATGGAGCACAGAGAATTGTTAGGGCAGTGATGCCACTCCGTGTGATACCATAATCATGGGTACATGTCATTATGCATTGGTCCAAGCCCACAGAATGACAACCCCAGGTGAACCCTGATATGACTGTGGACTCTGGGTGGTGACAGTGGCAACGCAGGTTCATCAGCTGTGACACGGGTACCCTGTGGTGGGGTGGCGATCACAGGGGTGGGGCTGCATGCATGTGCAGGCAGGGGGCACACGGGGACCCTGTGATTGTTCTTCCTCTTTGCTCTGAATCTAAAACTGCTATTTTTAAGAAAGTAGTAGCTTCACAAAATTGAATAAATTATAACAGAAATTTTTATTTCTTTAAAGAAAGACAATTTCCCAGAACTTAACATGTGTTCAGTTTGCGAGGGCCCACTGTGTGTCTGTCATGGTAGATGAAACAGAACTACACCCAGGAACATCGCTGTAAAATGTGGAACACGGGGACCGGGAAGGTTCCCCACACATTTCCAGAGAGAGTTAGAAAAGGTCTGGGTTCCAAAAAGCTTTTGAACTCTAAACAGCAACATCGGAACATGGCTGGCAATAGCACAGACACTCAAGATTCTCAAAGAAAATTATTTCCTGCTTGAAATTCTGTGATTTTGGGGATGTGTCCCCCAAGAAAGAGGAAAACCTGGGGTGCAGGGAAGAAGAGAGCCCCCTTGGAGAGAGGCAAAGGGAATTCTAGGCCAGTGGTGACAGGAGACCTCAGGGTTGCAGATGTGTGGGAGGGCCAGTGGGCAGCTGTCCACGCCAGAGCAGGTGAGCAGGCTGAGAGGAAGTCCGTCTTAGCAAAGTGCAACTCTAAGCATAACCGATTCGCCCAGATCTCTCAAGAGTAGACTTACATAGGTGGCCGAGCATTTGGGATTAAGTCACTGAAGTGAACACAGAAAGCTAAGCAAGCAGGAAAACCAGGCAATTTTTAATTCCAGAGGAAGAGAGCTTTGAGGGAAAATAAAAACAATCATAGTTTGCTGTGTTCCAGCTGTAAATGATTAGCGTAAATAGTAAGTGGCAACGAGGCTTTTGAGTGACCCCAATTGTGCTGCGTGTGTGTTGGCAGGACGGGAAGGAAACAGAGCATGCAGAAAGGGGAGCGAACGGTCAGCCAGAGCATGGGCTACACCTGGGAAGCAGGACGTTCGCACGCGTGGAGGGGTAAATACCAAGAGAAACAATTAAAATTGTGATTTTTCTCTTTTTAAGTCATTTTTAGAAGATTTTGTGTTTATGTATTTTTAGAGGGAGATGAAGAGAGGGACAGAGAGGGGGAGAGGAAGATGCATGTGTACAGAAACACTCTGGCACGCATGTGCCCTGACCGGGCATTGAACTGCTGACCTTGTGCTTTGTGGGAGGACACGCAACTCCCTGAGCCACACCTGCCCGGGAAAGACGGTGGTTTTTCTGGAGAAGAGATGGGGGGGGCGCTGCGGGCAGAAGACACGACGCTCTGGGGTCAGAGACAAAGAAGAGATCACTACTCACCGAGGCAGTATTTCAGTGTGAGCACTTTTAATGGTGCTCCCTGAACCCCGCTTCTTGCAGACTGGCGCCCTGAGAGCTGGGTGGAAGCTGCGGGCACGGGGACAGGAGAGGAAGCCGGAGCTTGGAGAACATGGGGGTTAATGGTGGTCACTACGCCTGCCTGCCATTTGCGGATTCAGAGGAAGGTGCTGTCTCTTCCAAGAGCCGTTTGTTGTACAAACTTCTTTTAAAAGATAGTAAGGAGCCAAGGACCGCCAGTGCCTCACTCACGAGAGGCGCAGAAATGCAGAACAATGGAGAGCTGATTCTCAAAACTGCTGTTACTCATCATTAACCTCCTTGAATTATTTCATTTTTCAAATGTACATGCACGTATAACTTCCATAAAAATACAAATCTAATGAGTTAGATATTTTAAATCATTCAAACAATTCACCGAGCTCCTACTCCTACTGGCGAGGTGGAGACCCAAAGTTGGAAAAGGATTTTTCTGGAACCTTGCAAAGGGGGCTGGGGGCCAGGGGAAAGGTTGGTCGCAGCCCCAGACGTCCCTCCGACCCCTTGGATCCCTCCGTGGGACCCTCCTGGGCCCTGGGCACTGGGGCTGCACCTGTCAGACCCTGGTGCCGCAGCCCAGCCAGGTCTGCGGAAGAGATGGCGTCAGGGGAGTCAATTGTCTGGAGCGGCCCTTCTGAAGTTTGTTTTGACCACAGTTACGGGGTGTGATGGCGCCCTGCAGAAAACCGAGAAACAGCAACCTAAACCAGTCAGTGGATGTGGGCAGCAGAGCCTGTCGGGAGGCTGAGGGCCAGGGGGGTCTCCCAGCCACTTCTGATGGTGCAGCTCCCACGCCCGCAGCGGCAGGACAGGAAAAGAGGCGGACAGTTCGGCCTCGTCCCCCACCCCCACCCCACACCGTCCTCTGCCGCAGGGGATCCCCAGTGGTGCCTGCCCGCCGGTGTGTGCGCCGCCCCCTCTCCAGGGCGCAGCGGCACCGAAGCTCAGTAGGGCCCTTGTGTCCAGCCTGGCCCTGTGCTGCCTGGCACGGGACCCATCCCGACCACCTTCGCCTGGAGGCTGATCCGTGGCCTCACCCCTCCCGGGGGCACCAGCCACCGCCGGAGGCCACAGAGGAGGGCTGGCCTCCCAGCAGAGCCCGCTTATCCGCCCCATCTCCCATTACATAAGGCCGAGCCTCTATCTCTGAGGGGCATCGCGGCTGCCACGGCGGGGCCAGTGCAGGTTCTCCCACGCGCGGGCGCCTTGTTTCGCTGGTCCTGGGGATCACGGAGGCGTTGACTCATCCTGGCGCAGGGCTGCGGGGCTGGCGCAGCCCGCGGTGGTTCCCCCTCTTCCCCCCATCCGAGACCCAGACAAAGATGCCCTTGGCCTGGTTCTACAGATGACGACACTGAAGCCCACAGAGGGTCGCACAGCCAGAAGCAGCACACAGGCGCTGCGGGTGCGGGTGGGGGCGCGAGGGCCAGGTGCTAGCCTCAGCACTCAGAGTCTGCAGTTGGACAGGGAGCTGAGGGTCTGGCCGGAATGGAAGGGGGACAGTGCTACCAGTGGGTGGGGAGGGCCAGCCAGCCAGGCTGGGAGCAGGTGGAGAGCTCCAGCACCCCCTGGAAGGCCCTTTTGCCGGAGCTGAGTTCCCCCAGGGGGTGACAGAGGGAGGCTAAGCTAGCAGGCAGAGAGGGGGCCTGCGGGGGTGGGGGTGGGGGCAGCTGCTTAGGGGAGGAAGTGGATGAGGGGGAGCGAGCTTGACATCAGCACCCAATAGGCAGATGCCCCCGCCCGTCGTGGGGGTTCCTGGAAGACTTCTAGAGATAGGAGGGGAGAGCAGGAAGACTCTGCATGCCAGAGTTCCCGCAGGGGGTGGGCTGCCCCCAGCAGACCCAGGAGGACTCTGTTCTGCAGAAGGGAAGCGTGAGGCCTCCAGAGGGCATGGGGTTGGGTTCGCAGAGACTGGTGGGCAAAGGTGGTCGCTCCGGGTCTCAGCGGCACTGGGTCCACCTCCCACTACCCTGGCACAGGAAGGGTTTTCCAGCAGGATGGGCCCACAAGGAAGGGGCGGGGCTCCCCGAGTCCAGGCGGCCTGTGCTCCACATTACCATCAAAGCTACGTTAAAAAGGAAAGGTCCCGGCTCTGGCTGGGTGGCTCCATCGGTTGGAGCATCCTCCTGTACACCAAAAGTTTGCGGGTTCGATCCCCGGTACACCCGCATAGAGGAGGCAACCTGAGGCAACTGATCAATGTTTCTCTCTCTCCCCCTCCCTATCTCTCTGTCTAAATTCAATGAACATATCCTTGGGTGAGGACTTAAAAAAAAAAAAAAACGTAGGAAAGGAAAGGTCCTAGGAGGATCCCTGAATCTGACGGGATCTTTTAGCGGAGACCTGGCAACCTGAACATCTACACCCCGTCCAACAGGAGCACTCTGGACAGCAGGGTCACCAAAAGGTGTGAACTTCACTCTGCTCCCTTTTCCATTTGGACCTCATCTCCAACCAGTATTCCTTTGATAATGAAGAGACCAGGTCATTGAAAAAACAAAACACCCAATTTCCCAAATCTGGTGGACTCGGGTCACAGCACTGACCATCCAGCACATGCGGTGACCCCAGCAGGTCTGAGGGCAGTGGCTGGAGCTCCCGCTGCGGGGCTGAGGCCGGGCCCCGGGAGGTCTCTCCCCTGTCCCCAGAGGAAGCCCATCCAGATCTAGGAAACTGCCCAGACCCCTCTCAATATTAAGTCCACAGCAAATCAAACGCTTTCCTTTATGTGGCACTGGATTTTCCACAAAGTAAAAATCAAAATGAGTAAAGATGTGGTTTCCAGATAATACCCGACAAAGCGGAGACCAGGGGGTGAGGCGTCATCACTTGGGCCTATAAAAGCTGCCACAAGAGACCAAGGCCACATGCACTCCGCTGAGGCCAGCCTCCGTGTCTGCTCCGACTCCTCCTGCTGGCTCTGGGCTCCATGGCGCTCTGGGTGACTTTGGTCATTGCTCTCACCTGCTTCGGCGGTCTCGCCTCCCCGGTCCCTGTGCCACCCTCCTTTACAGCCCTCAGGGAGCTCATTGAGGAGCTGGCCAACATCACCCAGGTGAGTGCCCCCTGGCCACGGTCCCAGCTCTGAGGGTGCTGGGTGGTTGACTCTGGGGATGCTGGTCCGGGTCTGGGTCTTGAAGGCTGGGCCTGGCACTAAGATGCCTATGGGTCAGGAAGAGGCCCCATGGCCCAGGGGCAGGTCACAGGGGAGGGAGAGGAACCAGACTGGGGGTGCAGCAATACGGACGGACAGACCCATGAAGGGCTTTGGCAGAGCCACAGAGAGCGCCCACTCAGCCATTCCTGAACAGAAAAAAGCGAAGGGCCAGTGTGTGCTTAGAACCATTTGGCATTTGCCAATGCGATTTGAACACAGCAGCCATGGGGCATTGTCCACAGCCTCCTAGCTAAACCTGGCCTTATGGAAGGGTCCATGAGTAGGGTCAGCTCCTGACCGTGTGCCAGGTGCTGGGTGCTGATATATCATTTCATTGCTGCCAGGCACTGCGAAAGGCAGATGTGAGAGCCCGTTTTACCCACTGAGCCTCCGTGAGGTTAATTCACAAAAGCCAAACTCAAACCAGGCCTGGCCGACACCAGAGCACCCATGCTCAGAGCTGCGGTGTCCCCCACCCTCCACCCCGATCAGCAGGCAGGGTGTTTATTCCCCACTTCCCCCTCCCAGGGCCCCTGGGCTCCCAGGGCTCCCACACCTGACCGGGCCCCTGCTGACGGGCTTGGTGTCTCTGTCCTCCTGCCCTGGCTGCGGTGAGCGGCGGCATCGCAGAAGGCTTGTCCCTTAGCAGTTGGGTCATTCGGTTTTTCTCTCCCGGCTCGAAGACCCCTGGAGGGTGGGCCTCCCTGACTGTGCAGAGAGGGAATGAGGTTCAGGGACACTGAGGGCCAGGCCTGCCTCTGGGGAACATGGGGCGCTCTGGGACCTGGCCCCTCCAAGAGCAGGCCTGGGGCCCCGCCCACACTCTGCTCACTGTCCTCTTGCTCCCCCAGGACTCCCTCTGCAACGGCAGCATGGTGTGGCATGTCAACCTGACAGCTGGCTCGGTAAGGACCCCTTGCAGCCCGGGACACCAAGGCTGGGGCCTGTGAGCAGGCGCAAAGAGCCACTCTGTCCCCTGCCACCACTCCATCCCCCACTCCAGTAACCTCACTGAAGCAGAGCCTGACCCCGCCTCCTCCTCCCTGCAGTTATGCCCTGCCCTGGACTCGCTGATGAACGTCACCGACTGCCGTGCCATCCAAAAGACCCAGAGGTTGCTGAGCAAATTCTGTCCTCACAAGCCCTCAGCCGGGGTAAGGCCCAGCCCCAACCCCCTCCCTGCACCCTGCACCCTGCTACCAGCATGCATCCACCCGGGGTTAGGGTCCACTGTGGCAGCAGGGATGCGGACTTTGGGGTCTCCGGGACCTGGGCGTGAGGGCCCCTGACTCCTGCCACCTCTCTAAAATGAGAGTGACAGTGCCCACCTCATGGGGCCTTCTCTGAGGACCCAGCGTGCCCCACCCCCAGAAGCCCGGCCCAGGCTGGTCGCTGGGCCCTGGCGCCGCCCCACTAACACGCAGGCCTGTCTGTCCCTGCAGCAGGGCCCCAAGCCGCCCATCCGAGACACCAAAGTCGAAGTGACCCAGTTTGCCAAAGACCTGCTCCGACACCTGAGGAAAATGGTGCGCCACAGAGTGTCCAGCTGAAGGTGCGGAGCACAAGACGCTGGCGTCGCCGGCGGCCGAGGCCAGCCCTGACCGGAACCTGCAGATCCATCTTCCTTTCAGACGCCAGAAATTCCCCGGGGGACGGGACGGGTGGGGTGGGGAGGGTTTCCTTAGCTTAGACCTCAGCCTGCTCTGTCTGCCTGCAGCCCTGCCCGACCTTGGTCCCGGGGCAGGGGCTCCGAGCCTGGGAGGAGGGGACAGACATTGCTCATGCCACCTCCGGGCTCCCGGAGCCAGCTGGAGCATTACGGCGCACACCGCCCGCCCGGCCTGGGGGAGGGGGCTGTGCTTCCCAGAGGGGCAAGCGAGGCAGCGTGCAGCTGAGGTGTACCTCTTCTTAGCCTTATTTATTACTATGTATTATTTAAACAAGTGTGTTTGTCTGTGCCGGGGGGGGGGGGTGGGGGGGGGACCGACGCTGCGGAGACCGGGAGCCGGGGGCACGGAAACTCCAGCTCCAGCATTAAAGCAGCGGGCGGAGGAGCCCCGGGACCAAGTACTGTGTGCGAAACTCTACTACCTCACCGGGGCCGGGCCGAGGCTCTGGTCCGCCAGCCAGCCAGCCAGCCGTCGGCCCTCAGCCAAGGAGTAATTTATTGTTTTTCCTTGTATTTAAAATTAAGTATTAAAATATGTTATCAGGGTTAATAATATATACAAGAGCAACCAAGAACACTGCATGTGGTATGTGTGCATTGGGGGGCGTGGTCACTGAGTTTATGTTGTCAATGACTTTGTCAAACTGGAGGCCAGAATAAAGAGGATGACGAGAGACCTCGCGGTGTGTGCCTTCTATTTTGACCTTCGGGAGCACTGGCCTGTGCTCCTGGACTCTCTGGGGCTCCTTTGGAGGCAAGCGAATGGAGGAGGGGGCCTCACATGGAGAGGGGGGAGCGAGAGACAAGACCTGGGTTGAAAGACCGGGAGCAAGCCCCTAGGGGAGGGAGGCCCTGGCCTGGAGGAAGTCGCCCCCACCACCACCCCACCCCCACCACACCACAGGGAGCATTGAAGCTGGGCCCCGGGTGTCAGGGTTCGAGCAGGGCGTCTGGGGCAGACAGAGACCTCAGAAGCCATCTCATGATCCCAGGTCCTAGTGAGTGGCCAGCCTGTACCTGGTACCACCAACACCCCTGTGTCGCTCTCATTACCTCTGCCCTCAGAGAAACATGAGGAGCAAAGCCAGGATCTGAACTCCAAACTCACTCCAACTCCACTTAGCTATGCTGAACAACCCTGCCTCCCTCTGTCCAAGTGTCACCTGATCTAAATGCATGACCTTTATAATATAGTCATCTACCTGTTTGGACACTTGACCTGATGGGAAGCTCACTACCAACAATCTAGGGACAGCCCATTCAATTTCTGGAGACGTCTCATCATTAGAGAGTGCACACTCACGCCGCTGTGAACAGAGGTGCACTAGTTGACCTGTGGCCCCTGGACTGTGGAACGGCTGCGTGGAGAGCCAGTGTCTCAGGGCCCTGGGCAGGGTTCCTCCGAGCAGGGGCCATGGTGCAGGTGCCAGAAGCAGCAGGCCTCAGCAAGAACCAGCTGATGGTCATGCCTGTCCTCAGCAGTTTCCACTGAGTATTGCGGCACCCAGAGCAGAGGGGCTGCCCCAGGAGGCTGGGATGCCTTCACACCAGGTGGAGGGCCACTGGACACCAGTCTTAGACTCTGGGGGCAGGCAGGTGCCCTCGCTGGGGAGCTCAGGGCCCTGCAGGAACATCTACAGCGATGCTCAGAAGTCAGCGAGAGCGGCTGCAGGCAGCACAGGCCACAGCAGGACTCATCCAGGGGGCAGATGACCATGACAGAGTGCAGTGGGGCGCACCCTTGCCGCACTGGCACCCAGGCAGAGGTGTGGGAAGAAGTCACATCTGAGGAGCAGGATGCTAGGGTCTGGAGGCCCAGACAGGGAAGACCTGGGGAGGGGACACGGGAGCTAAGTGTCCCGAGGGCTGTCCAGAGCAGGGACTGGGCTGGCCTCTGTGGTCCCAAGGGGTCCCAGACCTCTTCGGTCCCACCACACTTGCTGAGGACTGCTGGAGGCCTGCACCCCCCAGGCTGCTGGGCAGACCGAGACTCGGCCTGCACTCGGGGCTGAGCACCAAAAAGGCATCTTTGCGGAGGGGTGGGCAGGGGGGGCGGGGATGGGGGCTCTACCCAGGGAGAGTGAGGAAGCTCCAAAGTCAGGGTTAGGGATAGGAGGCAAGATCTCCGCTAACCCTCTCCAACGAGAGATTCGAGGATTTTAAGGCCAGAAGGACATTTATGGGAGATTAATTTTTTTTAACACAGTACTTAGTAATCTAACTGCAGGTAGCATCATGCCCTCTCTGCCCAACCATGGCATCAGGCCCTCTGTCAAAAGGAAGATGGACAGTCTTCTGGTGAAATTCTGTGCGAATGTCCCGAAAACTCAGACCAGAATTGAGGCTGGCTCAGTGGGGATGGTCCCTGAGGATTTCCCAAGGCTGGATTCCAAGCCCTGCAGTCCCCAGGGCTCTGCGGCTGAGTGAGCTGTCCTGACAGCGCCCCACCACTAGGGGTCCACAGCGTGCCGCATGCTCAGCCACCCACAGCTCCCTGCCTGCACCTCTGAGCCTGTGCCCCAAACGGGGGACCTGTGGTCACCAGCGCTGTGCCATGAGTCAGTCAGAAAAGGCTCGGGGCCTTCCAGGGACAGCGGATGCCTCACAGAGCCACAGAACCAAGCCACCTCTGCCGGCAACGGAGGTGGGCTCAGCCAGGAATGAGAGAGGGGGGGTGGGGTGGGGGAGGGCAGAAAAGAGAACAAAAAGGCCTGTGTCACAGTGTCACTGCTGTGGCTGGGAATGTCAGAGCCTGGGCACTGGCCCCTGAGGCCTTTGCTGGGAGCCTGCCCTGCCCATGTGCCCTGGCTTCTCTGACGCATGAGACAAGGGCGGGGCCAGAGAGAAGGGGGGTCAGGAAGAGACAGAGCGCTAGGTGAGTAGGAAGGAGATGCTGATCATGGGGCCCAGGGCGGGGAGCCCCTGACACCCGGGAACCCCAGGCCTGGGAGGTTTCGCTGAAAGGGGCTGGGACCCAAGTGAGAAGTGAGACACAGGCGAGCTTCCGGTGCAGTCGGCCCCAGACACCTCTGTTCACCGTGGGCTGAGACGCCAGAAACGCCCGAGTCAGCCGGGCCCCTCCAAAGCTGGCCCTCTGCACTGCTCGGCCTGCAGGGCTTCCTCAGTGCCCCGAGGCCTGCAGGGGGCTGGGTTTGTCCAACCGTCAGCTCCTTGCTTTTTCATTGTGATGCATCAGGGAGTGCCTTTTGCTTCTGGTGTTAATTCAGCTGGTCAGTTTGAGCAAAGTCAAAAACTGTTCCTCCCTTCAGCAGCTCCAGTCTAAGAAGGCCCAACAGGGTCCGGGTGGATTGTGCTCCCAGGGGTGGGGGTGGGGGTCCCCTGGCACGGAACGGGCTGGCCGTCAGCTAGACTTTCTAGGGGGCTGAGCCGGTGTCAGAGCTGGTGGCTGTATCCACGGTCACCCTCCCACACACGTGGCCCACTCCTACCCTGAAAGAGAAAAGTCATACAGCCCCATTATCTTCATTCACTTCTCGGCTCCACCCAATGCAGCAGAGCAAAGGGTTTGCAACGAACTTTCCCAGATCAACTGATTTCCCGGCAGCCAGGGAGGGCCCCATGACGAAGCCGGTGAGATCCCAGAAGCGGTTTTCTACTTACGACCTCACTTTCTGTTACACTGTCTCCCTTCCCTGCATAGTACCTTCTCTTGTGGAAAGTGATGCTCTTGAAGAGCTGTTCAGAGCCACCCCCAGCCCAGGGCCCTGCCTTGGCAGCCCTGCCCTGTGGTCACAGGTGACGCAGATGGCAAAATTAAATAGCCAGTCTCATCAGCCCCGTCATCAGTCCCGCTCTCGGCACCAGTCGGATGAGCCTGTGGCCCCACGGCTCTCCCTGACACCCACGGGGGCGTCCATGGGGGCCAGTGCCCGGTGGTGTGCTGAACCACACCAGCCTGCAGGTCTGTGCCCCGCCCCCGCCCCCGCCACTGAGCCTGAGCCCTGGGCATGGAGCCTTGAGACACCGCATCAGAGAAGATACCACGGATTGTCTCTGCTTTCTTCTCACCTCTGTTCCCCCACATTTCCTATAAGGAGCATGTATGCAGGTCCCCCTGGGGGACAAAGACAAAATTAAAAATAAAGAGGACATGAAATTGATGTCCCGAGGGAACAGAGCACAAGCAGGGTGGGGAAGGGGCCTGCAGTGCTCCCTGGGCAGACCCGCACCGGGGCCCCTGGGCTCGTCCCAGCCCCTCCCCAGGGCCAAAGTGCTGTCTCAGGAGAGAAGGGGGGCAGGCCTGGGAGGCAGGAGGCTGAGCAGCCCTCCTTCTGCGGACTGTATCCTCAGACCAGTCAGACCCTATGTTGCAAAAGAGGGAGTAAGGCACCCCCTTCTTGGGGGTCTTCATCCAGCCCCAGCCTGGTACAGGGAGACGGGGGGTGGGGGACAGGAAAGGGTGGGCTAAAGTGACACCAGCGCCCTGGGGACAGAGGGGCAGGTCTTGCAGGCTCCTCAGCCGACTTTCCTCTCTCTCAGGAGGACGATCTTCCCCCTGCTTCTCAAAGGAGAGAGAAGCCAGGGCCTATGCAGCTACCTCACCATCCATTCCACAAAGCTAGAGTCCAAGGCCCTGCCTGCCCTGGCCCTGTCCTCCCCTTGCCCCCTGCGCCCCCTTGGGGGAGGAGTCCCCTTCATCTGTGCTCAGGATCCTGTTCCCCTGCCTTCTCTGGGGACTTGGGGCAAGGCCTCGGGGTCCCACTGTGCTCCTGACTTCCCTGTTACACAGCTGCCCCGCTATGGGATGGAACGCACGGTCCTGCAACCAGTGTCCACAGCAGCCTTCACCGGGGCAGGACACCAGGCGAGGCGCTGGGCCCCACAATGACTGTGCAAGGCTGCGTCCACTGGAGACGCAGGGTCCACAGACAGGAGAACCTGGGAGTGTAGGGCACAGTGGGAGCTGCAGAGGGCAACCAGGCAGGTAGGGGCCACTCTGTGTTGGGAGAGGAGGTCAGAGAGGCCCTCCCTGGAGAGAGAATCCAGAATGCAGATCTGGATGAAGTGCGGGAAGGCATTCAGCACAGGGAATGAAGAAGAAGGAGAGAGGAAGGTGCACCGCTGCCCCTGCGCCCACGTGGCCGGAGCCAAGGGGCCCCAGGGGCTCCTCTCCCAGTGGGACGGGCGACGCCCTCTGGCTCCCGTTCACCAGAAGCCCTGGGGCTGCACTGCTGTGTGAG